AAACCTATGTAAAAACGGTAGTAATTTATTGGGTACTCCCATGTCTTCATGGGATAGTGCTCAAAGCACACAGATTGGTTATGCTTGTCACTGCTGAGCTCCTTGTGCCAAAAGAACACCACTCCTACGGCAAGCTCTTTGAGCCAGACCACCGCACTGACCAGTGCTGCTGCTCGTACCGATCGGAAAGCCGAGAAGCGGAAAGGGTAGACCACTGCCAGGTAACGGTCAATCGAGATACAACACAGAAAACCAATGCTGACATAGATGTTCTCGTAGAGCAGGAATCCACACAGTTGGCAGAGCCACTCAGAGCTGATCCAGTTGTCCCCTTGGAAGATATACTGGAGCCAGAGGGGCAGGGAGGCCAGGTACAGCAGATCGGATATGGTCAGGTTTAACAAGTAGACCCCCAGCTCATTGCGGGCTTTCAGTTGCAACCAGGCATGGTAGAGCGAGTAAGCATTGGCGGGAAGACCCACTAGCAGGATGAGGATGTACGCACCCGAAAACAGGTACTGGTGAATCTCGTGGCTTATAGTGCAAGCACAAATATATATATATATATATATATATATATATATATATATGAACTCACCTTTATAAATATTCACCTGAATAAGTTTGACCGCTAACCCCAGCCTCCCATACATGTTTACATTATTACACAGCAGAATAAATATAAAAGTTCTAGATTAGACGATGTATATTTTCTGCCATCCAATTCTTGTATAAATTAAATTATGAAGAAAAAAAAATACGGCTGAGCACGTTTAGCCTAATTAAGGTTAACCTAAATGTCGTAACATAAACCCAATAACCCGACTCAGCAAATGTGGGAGAATGTGTGCTTGAACGTGCCTCTCTATATGCTGACACGATCTGCCATGAAATGTTTAACCTAGTTAAGTCATGTAGCCTACTGTAATACAACCGGTAGCATTTGTTGACCAAAGTTTGACATGTAAAACATGTTGTGCAACCAGGCATGGTAGAGCGAGTAAGCATTGGCGGGAAGACCCACTAGCAGGATGAGGATGTACGCACCCGAAAACAGGTACTGGTGAATCTCGTGGCTTATAGTGCAGTTTATTTGCTCCTCAGACATGTTCATCTTTCTAACCTCATGTTCGCAGAGTCTTATTCAACAAGTGTTGGTAAGTTTGTAATCAACTGAGGTCTCCAAATAACATTCCACGGATTCTATGGGAAGCAAACAAAATAGGATGTCAAATGATTAGTGTGTCCAAATACCACCACAGTATTCATACAACCCAGAAAATGCCATGATACACTACAACTTTCACTGAGATTCTGATGTACATATTGGACATTATGGAAAAGTTGAGTTCATCTGTAAAAGTTATCTTTTAAAAAAATCAAACTTTTGATGGCTTTATGATACTTGTCAAAAACTGATTTGGGTTTTTCTCAGTTCAAGCAGACAGAAGTTGTACTTATGCATGCCTGAAAATAGCTTTCTGAGGATTTTATCAAGATGACTGCCGAGTGACAATAGTTTTGTGTGTGGGCGGGTGTCCTTTAAACTCTGAACTATTTTAAGCATACAGGAAGAGATATTATGAAGTTGAAGGAAGTGTGAAACTCATCTACTAATTTCGAAATATGCCATATCCAACTGCACGTCTTTTGCACTTGGCTTTGACGTCTGCGTAGGTGTTTTCTTCGTTGAGTAGAGCCTGTGCAATGCAATTAAACCATCTTTATATATGCTAATTCATGTCATGGATTTGAGTAACATACGTTGCCCTTTTCAATTTGACCATGGCCTGGTTCGCAGAATGTCTGGCTGATCAAAGGATGATAGATATATTGGGATTGAGACAGACTACTTGGGATTGAGACAGACACTTTCAATAATACTGCTCAGACATGATGAACATCATCTGTGCAAGTACAACAGTATTACTCAGAACAGTGTCTCAATATAGGAAAGCTGTTTTCAGTAGAATTGCTTTTCTGTTCTCGGAGGTTACTTCGGATTTTGTCTTCTATGGAGCCAGCTTTAACATCTACCTTACGGAGAGACTTACCTATAGAGATTTGACATTTCCCTAGCAAACTATGGAGCTGTTTTCCTCTATAAAACTTTGATGAAGTCCTGTACTGTATGTGATAATACAAGCAGTTCACTTCCTGTTCAGAACAAGAAATTGTTTGGTCAGAGTAATGTAGCAGTACGAGAGAGGCAATGTGTTACAATGCTTTTAACTTGGGTAAGGGGTGTTCTTAGGCACAACAAATTTGTGTCAATAGTCCAATAAATACATTAATCAAACTTAATTAATTATAGAACAGATTTTTTTTTCAGCCAAACTGTACTATGATTGTGGTTGCTGAGCAACATAGAATTCAGTTAAAGTGTGGTCACAGATGTGCATCTGTCTACAACAGCTTCAAACATGTCTCATCCAAACAGAATTCAAAGTCTAATCTGTTTTATAAAGCGCAAAACTTCACATTGATTCATCATTTATGAAAACTGTCAAATAACAAATTCTTCATTAATATTGTATTTATAATTTAGTATAGGGGACTCCAGGACTTGCTGTGACATGAGGAATCTCTTGAGTCAAAAAACCAATTTCACAAATGTGTTTTTGCTTGCTGTTTTCAACCAGCTAGTTTCAAACTTTCTCAAATTAAAATATACTGTATTTTGAATTGCAAAAGTATATTTATATACATATAAATATACACAGTACACACATATATTATGTAAACACACTTTTATTTTGTAAGTGATTAATCGCGATTGATCAATTTGAAACTGCCATCCAATTCTTGTATAAATTAAATTATGAAGAAAAAAAAATACGGCTGAGCACGTTTAGCCTAATTAAGGTTAACCTAAATGTCGTAACATAAACCCAATACCCCGACTCAGCAAATGTGGGAGAATGTGTGCTTGAACGTGCCTCTCTATATGCTGACACGATCTGCCATGAAATGTTTAACCTAGTTAAGTCATGTAGCCTACTGTAATACAACCGGTAGCATTTGTTGACCAAAGTTTGACATGTAAAACATGTTGTAATAGAGAAAAACTACCATATATTTGGCACATGTAATATTCCTGTTTATTTTTAATGTAGTATTGCTCTTGTGCGCGACTCATTACACCATTTGGAGTATGTAACTGATCACATTATAAACTTGAACCCTAATGGGTTAAACCAGGTTCATTTGTATTGGTAGCACATCTTAATAAACATGTCACAGAGTAGACCATGTTGGTTAGAAGTGCTAGATTCTCACGTGTAGTAGCCAACGTATACATGAGAAATTATCGAATTAGAAATGATATAGCCTATATTCTAAAAGTGCGTTACAAATAGCTGTTGGAAAGCTGTAAAATAGTAATCAGCATCATTTGTTTGCCTAGTTTACTACACAAATATCATCATAACCATATTTTCTGGCAAAAATACCACAGTGATTATAATTTTATACTGATTTTATAATAAATTAATGGGAACTCAAAAAAAATTTCATATTGCATTCCTTTTTCCTACTTTATTTCTTTTTATTGGTAGTAGGACATAATACTAAGTGCTCAGTTTACTGAAGCAACAATTACTGTAATAGGCTAAATGTTTTTTTTAAAGGTATAGGAGAATATACATGAGATTTAATGAAAGTAAATTACCTTAAGATTGCTGGTTTTAATCCCTCGCGACTCATTCGAGGCATTTCTCAAAAGTGATGAACAACATATCCTCAAGATCAACCGCTCCACCGACTCTGTCATAGAGATTTGACTGTTTCTATTCGTTTACTCGCAGGAGAGATTTTTTTTGCAGAAATAAAATAGCTCCCGTGTTCCGGGGTTGTCGCGTCGGAAAAGAGGAAAAAATTAAATTGCGTCAACAGATTGTATGTGATGATGCGTGCAATTACTCAAAGCGAAACACTCATCTCAAGTGTCTTCTCAGACACAGGATGTGTCTCGTATCCTATGACCTGCCTGCACAGAAAGCACGTTTGGCAATTACAGCTGCGCTCAGTCAGATGAACGGACATGAAACGCAACTATAATGTCCGAAGTGCTGTCTAAGTAGGCAGCTCCTCAGCATAATAGCCTCGTTGTTCATCTGCCTGTTGGGAATAAGGGTAATAATGTATGTGACATATGCATAAATAAACATTTAAGGTTTCTTAGGTGAAATTGTTCACAGCGCCTGGACCGTGCGCAAAGGAAAGGATGTAAAACGCGTTTCAAACTATCACATTCCTCAAATACTTACACGTTGGTGTCCCATAACGTTTTTAACGCATTTTTGTGAGATATTTTGGATATGTCTGATGAACTTTTATTTAACATAAATTTAAACTAGCATGAAAAAATGTCCCATATGTCCCAGATTTTGGCCAAACTGTTACCGCATGCTTTCCTCAGTTACAATACACGTAACATTCCTTAAAATTGTGACAACCAAGTCAAAACTTAGACACTTCATATGGCAGGACAACTGAATCTAATCTCTTTTCTCAGTTTTTAGCTTCATTTGTCAAGTTCAAACTTCAGCTCGTGGTACTGAAAGAAGATAGGTTATTTAAATTATTGAAAGAAGACCAAACATAAGTTTATCAGTAACTACACTCTAAAAAATGCTGGGTTGTTTCAACCCAACTTTAGGTCAAATATGGACTAACCCAACGTTTGGGTTAAAAATTTAATGTAAAAATGTAACCCAACGGTTGGGTTAGTCCATATTTGACCCAAAGTTGGGTTGAAACAACCCAGCATTTTTTAGAGTGTACAACTCAACATTTGGTGCCAAATTAACTGGACAGACCTCAAGTTATGCTGCAACCCCTTTACCCATTCTGAAGGTTTTTTTTTTTTGGATGATGATTTTTGTATGTTTAATTTTGATGTTAATTTATTCTGAGAGCTAGAAAATCAGTTTTAAACTTTATGCATGTCATAGCACTAATTTACTCACGCAATTTACTGAAACCATCAACTCCAGACATAAAAAAAGCTTTATTACAAAGAGCAGGTTTTGGAAAACAGCTTTCTCTAAACAGGCTTCTATCATTGACAATAAACTTTACATTAAGTGTAAAAGGTTGTTAGGGTATCTACTCCTTACATCAAACACACAATATCTTACAGGTACTGATCCATGTTCATGTGCAGTAGTGTATAAAAACAGTTGTATATCTAAAATCATTTAAGCAGTAGTTGTGCACATTCAAACAGGACACTCTCCTAATGTTCACACACCCAGTGTGAATGCTTGATCCAAATATATTTCTATGAAGACACCATTGCCTTTGGTGATCAGCTCTTGCCCTTGACTTAAGAAAGCCTCCGCAGACCATAAGAAGTTGGAGATGGTGACACGAGATGGCAGAATAGCACCCCTGACAGGGAACAAGGGGTGCTTGGTTGGTGACATGATTGAGGGATCCTGGGATTCCATGGGCTTTTTTACCTATATGCTTCACTTAGGGAAAAAATATGTATAATGAGACTACTCCATTCTTCCAGTGTTCAACATAATCAGACTTAAGCATCAACCACGCAAAACAAAAAAGCAATTTTGGAAAAATGAGGCATACACACACATTAAAACAACTACACAAACAAGTGTCATTAATTGTCTCAAGGACATTAATAAATAAACCAATAAAAGAACTTCTGGTCATTAGAACAGTTGTGCAGTGTTATAAAATGAGTGTGTTGATGAGGAAAAACAAAACTAAACAAAACACAAAAACACCAAACTGAGCTTCAATTTCTCTTTAGTGCTACTCTAAATGCTTGTGTGAAACTGGGCAATATGTCCAGTACTCCAGATTCCCCCTCAAAACCAATTCTTCCACCTTATATCATAAGGTGCTATCTTATTTTCATGTCCAACAGCCTTCTGTTGGTCGCTCTCTTTCTGGCTCAGTGGTGCGTCTTGTGTGCTTCTGAACAGAGTCTGAGCCAAACCCAGGTCCTACACCAAATACATGTTCACCCACAAGAAGCAGAAAAGAGCAGATTGTTTGGTATGTCAGCTGGGAGCGAATGAGAGAGGCTGCTTCCTGTAATGGATCCCTATGAGGCTCGGTGATGGACCTGCAACTGTCCTGCGCCTCCTAAAGATGGATGCAGTCGCTACTCAGTAATTACGCTGGGAGTGGCTCCTAGCACACAGCCCAACGTTTGTTTTCCATATTCAGAATAGAACATGAACTGGCCTGCCATGGAGCTGCGGAGAGCTGTGGAAATCAATGGCATTTGATTGGAATTGAAGGGGGAAAATACATTCAAGTGCCCCATAAATTCATTTTCAGGTCAGTCTGAACATGTGCAAGACCCTCAAATGCAACTGGTGCCTTTGAAGCACCTAAAGAGATGGAGAGAGGAAGGACATGACCAGTCTCCCAGAGCTGCCTGGGGCTTTTATTTGTTTACAGTGCAGTTTCATACGTGTTTCTTCACCAAGTCTGAGGTTCTACACACAGCCGTACTCATACCAAACAGTCTGAGGGTCATTGTTGGGGTCGGGAGAAGCAGGTTTACTGGTGGGCTGCTCCTTGGTGGTGTAGCTTAAGTTCGCAGTGTCTGCTTTCTTCAACAGAGGCGACTCTGCCTGCCTTTGCTCCCGAGGTTCCTCCTCCAAATCCTTCAGCCTTAATGCTGATACGGCTCGCACTGGAGTCACCATGGCCACCTCGCCACGATGGAGGGCAGCTCGGGTTTGAGCAGGAGCAGAACGGACTGCTCCTGCCCTGCTGCTACCGCTACCAACGTATTCCCGTTCAGCCTGCAGCGGCATAGACGAAGAGTGCACTGGAGGCGGACTAGCCAGGGACAACTCATCTCTCGGTTGAGCGAGAGACAGACGGCGGGGGTCCACGGATACGTGCCCCGGGTCTCCAGGCAGCGGCGAAGAACCAGCCAGCCTAGCAGATATCGGTCTTTCTCTGGTGACTACACCAGACCTCCTCACCACCACATCATTTTGGCTGGGAGAACTTGCCTCGGTGCGGTAACTGTCCGGCCTGTTGGAACGGAGGAGGTCTGCGGAGGCCAGGCTGAATGTACGGCTCAGGCTGGCGCTGCCGCCCACACCTCCGCGAGGACTGGACTGCTGCAAAGGTGCGGACCGCAGTCCTGCTCCTCTGTTAGGAAGGGTTTGCGATTGAGAAGGAGGTGTGGACGTCTCGGTGAGCCGAACGCTTGGTTTGACACTGTGTCCAGGTTTAGGGGCCCGACCATCTAGTTCTGGCGGAGTAGTCTTGATGGTTGGCGTGACATAATTGGATGATTGAGGTGATTGAGGGATCCTGGGATTCCATGGGCTTTTTTACCTATATGCTTCACTTAGGGAAAAAATGAGACTAATGAGACTACTCCATTCTTCCAGTGTTCAACATAATCAGACTTAAGCATCAACCACGCAAAACAAAAAAGCAATTTTGGAAAAATGAGGCATACACACACATTAAAACAACTACACAAACAAGTGTCATTAATTGTCTCAAGGACATTAATAAATAAACCAATAAAAGAACTTCTGGTCATTAGAACAGTTGTGCAGTGTTATAAAATGAGTGTGTTGATGAGGAAAAACAAAACTAAACAAAACACAAAAACACCAAACTGAGCTTCAATTTCTCTTTAGTGCTACTCTAAATGCTTGTGTGAAACTGGGCAATATGTCCAGTACTCCAGATTCCCCCTCAAAACCAATTCTTCCACCTTATATCATAAGGTGCTATCTTATTTTCATGTCCAACAGCCTTCTGTTGGTCGCTCTCTTTCTGGCTCAGTGGTGCGTCTTGTGTGCTTCTGAACAGAGTCTGAGCCAAACCCAGGTCCTACACCAAATACATGTTCACCCACAAGAAGCAGAAAAGAGCAGATTGTTTGGTATGTCAGCTGGGAGCGAATGAGAGAGGCTGCTTCCTGTAATGGATCCCTATGAGGCTCGGTGATGGACCTGCAACTGTCCTGCGCCTCCTAAAGATGGATGCAGTCGCTACTCAGTAATTACGCTGGGAGTGGCTCCTAGCACACAGCCCAACGTTTGTTTTCCATATTCAGAATAGAACATGAACTGGCCTGCCATGGAGCTGCGGAGAGCTGTGGAAATCAATGGCATTTGATTGGAATTGAAGGGGGAAAATACATTCAAGTGCCCCATAAATTCATTTTCAGGTCAGTCTGAACATGTGCAAGACCCTCAAATGCAACTGGTGCCTTTGAAGCACCTAAAGAGATGGAGAGAGGAAGGACATGACCAGTCTCCCAGAGCTGCCTGGGGCTTTTATTTGTTTACAGTGCAGTTTCATACGTGTTTCTTCACCAAGTCTGAGGTTCTACACACAGCCGTACTCATACCAAACAGTCTGAGGGTCATTGTTGGGGTCGGGAGAAGCAGGTTTACTGGTGGGCTGCTCCTTGGTGGTGTAGCTTAAGTTCGCAGTGTCTGCTTTCTTCAACAGAGGCGACTCTGCCTGCCTTTGCTCCCGAGGTTCCTCCTCCAAATCCTTCAGCCTTAATGCTGATACGGCTCGCACTGGAGTCACCATGGCCACCTCGCCACGATGGAGGGCAGCTCGGGTTTGAGCAGGAGCAGAACGGACTGCTCCTGCCCTGCTGCTACCGCTACCAACGTATTCCCGTTCAGCCTGCAGCGGCATAGACGAAGAGTGCACTGGAGGCGGACTAGCCAGGGACAACTCATCTCTCGGTTGAGCGAGAGACAGACGGCGGGGGTCCACGGATACGTGCCCCGGGTCTCCAGGCAGCGGCGAAGAACCAGCCAGCCTAGCAGATATCGGTCTTTCTCTGGTGACTACACCAGACCTCCTCACCACCACATCATTTTGGCTGGGAGAACTTGCCTCGGTGCGGTAACTGTCCGGCCTGTTGGAACGGAGGAGGTCTGCGGAGGCCAGGCTGAATGTACGGCTCAGGCTGGCGCTGCCGCCCACACCTCCGCGAGGACTGGACTGCTGCAAAGGTGCGGACCGCAGTCCTGCTCCTCTGTTAGGAAGGGTTTGCGATTGAGAAGGAGGTGTGGACGTCTCGGTGAGCCGAACGCTTGGTTTGACACTGTGTCCAGGTTTAGGGGCCCGACCATCTAGTTCTGGCGGAGTAGTCTTGATGGTTGGCGTGACATAATTGGTGGGGGTTTTAGCGTCATCTCGCAGAGGGACAGGTCGAGTAGATCTGGTGAAATAATCAGTCATCAGATCCTCTCGACTTCCTGTCTGCACCTGAAAGACATTTAAATCATCATACATATTTTTGCAAAAGCATGTGGTTTTAACTGCCCCAATTCCAATATTACAACGGAAATTACTTGCAGGGTTCCCACACCCCTTGTGATGACTAGGACCCTCTCTTCTTGTAAGGAACTCCCTTTACTATATACAAAAAATGCAGCTATATATTTCCATGTATATACTACTTAAGATCAATATTAACTGCAATAATATGAAGCCTTGTTTTTATGACTTTTCCATTGTCATTATACAAAAGTTAAAATCTTATATATTTGAAAAATATTAGGAACAATTACTAAATGTTTAATTAAAATATTATGAAAATTTTATAGAAAATATTTACTTTATTCCAATGCAGGAGATACAACTTAATGTTGGACATATGCCTATATAAAACAAAAAGATTCTCACTGTTAAAGGGGTCATATGATGTTGCTAAAAAGAACATTATTTTGTGTATTTGGTGTAATGAAATGTTTATGCGGTTTAAGGTTAAAAAAAAACATTATTTTCCACATACTGTACATTATTGTTTCTCCTCTATGCCCCGCCTTTCTGAAACGCCATCGATTTTTACAAAGCTCATCGGTCTGAAAAGCGAGGTGTGCTCTGATTAGCCAGCTATCCAGTGCGTTGTGATTGGCTGGCCGAATACCTCAAGCGTGTGAAGGAAATGTTACGCCCCTACCATACTGTGATGCCCTGTCCGGCCGGAGTGACGAGACAAAAATATTAAATCCCATTATAAACTAGGCATTTGTTGCATCCGTGAACATTTGGGCGGCGTTATGCAAATTTGAGACTTTAGTCTTTGCAACTTTACAGATCTTCTTTATGCACCAAGAGCTTGTAACACTCCAAAGAGAAAGGAAAAATTGAAAATCGCATCATATGACCCCTTTAAAACTAAGGGCTAACTGAATAATTAATTGTTATTTGAATAAAATAACTGCAATTAAAAGTCATGACTTAAATATGACCGTAAATAATGGTCTGGTTTCACAGACAGGGCTTAGATTAAGCCAGGATTAGGCCATAGTTCAATTAGGACATTTAAGTAATTTTTATTAACATGCCTTAGAAAAAACATTACTGGTGTGCAACTTGAGACAAAACAAAGGCACTGATATATTTTAACATCAGTCAGTGCAAGTTTCTTTCAGCTGAAACAACTCAGACTTACATTTTAGTCTGGGACTAGGCTTAAGCCTTGTCTGTGAAACCGGGGGTAAGTGTATAAAAATTAAAAAATGTGTTAAAAATGTTTACAAATATTTAACTAAATTAAATGTAATCCTAAATTTCATAAGCTTTGTCAATTCTTAAGAACTAAAACATTTTTTTTCCACTGAACCCCCAAATATTCCCTATTGCTAGAAATCATTGTTTTAAAATGATTTTTTTCTCCCAGACATGTTCATTACCATGGGAATCCTGTGCATGCATTTCTTGTAATTTGCTCCATGTCTTACAACAGAAACACATTAAAATCCATTACGATAACAGGACTTGGAGATATGTATATCAATATGACATGTGATATCAACCTCAGTTTGGCAACTAGCTGAAATGGCTCCATTATAAACATTATCTTAGTAATCCCCAATTAGCAAACAACAATACATTGTGCAGTGTCAAACAGATCAAATATCAGGCATAATTTATTTAGGAGCATGAATGTCTCTACTGATAATGAATTAAATTTATAAAGCTCCCTTTTGCTATTCTCACTGCATAAACATGCACCCAGAATCTTGATATGTTGAAAAACATACAGGATATCTGAAGTGAGAAAATATACATCCTACGATGTTTGATTCACCACGCATTTAATTATTATTATTTTTTAATTCACCACGCATTTTTTAACACCACGCTGTTTTAAATAGGATCTTAAAATGATTTTATTTTTTAAGTTGTGTTTTTGTGATGTAATGTAGTCTGTTGTTGTGAGGACTACTTGTGCTGTTTGTGTGTTGAGCCTTTTGTCTGAAGACAATTTTCTACCCCATTGGGGATAGACAATAAAGCTTTTGAAATTGAAATGTAAAATTCTTCTAATTATATGTTATTATTCTTCAAAAGGTCAAACCATCAAACAAACAAGTCTGCTCAGAAGTAGGGCTGCACGATAAATATCGCACGATATTTAATGCGCATCTCGTCAGTAAAGCTGGTTCTGTAATCAGCGGTAAATCTCTACACGTGCGTGTTTTCATGTGGAGCAGCATTAGCTACACAGAGCCGTTGTTCACAGACAAGCTGCGCAAAACCACGATCATATTTTGCGCATGATTTACCGCTGATTACAGAACTGGCTTTACTGACGAGATGCGCATTAAATATCGTGTGATATTTATCGTGCAGCCCTACTAAGAAGTGTTAAAACGTTGTTAGTGTTAAAACAACTTACAGTGGGTGGGGACAGGACATTACTCTCCTGCAAGAACTCCTCAAGGGTGACCATCTCACTGCTAGGAGAGGACGGCCGTCGAGAAGTGGGCCGCTGGGAAGAACGTGAAGCAGATGGGGCATCACAGGGAAGGGTGGAGCTACGAGGAATCAGAGACAACTGACTGAGACGTGAGCCTTCATGACCCAGTCCAACGACATCATCGCTCGACAGACTGGCAGATCGGCCCTGCAGGCAGTCCAGAGAACCTGGAGGAAGACAGGAAATTAAAACCTGAACTGTAAAATTTAAGAGTGAGATGTCATAAAAATGGGCACATTAAAAGGACTGTGTGTGTCAATAGTGCTATTCACACAGTAGTATAATCATGATCAGTCATTTCAGCATTTACATGCACTAGCCTGCGTTTTTATTGCAAATCGAAATGAGAAAAGTGTTTTTTCTCTCACAACCCAGAAGAGAAACATCAGAGTGATATAATGGCCTTCCAAATCAACATCAGACTTGACAAATTGGCCTCTGCTAAGTGCTGTTAGGCTTTTACTTGACACTTTGCATTAGAGCCCTGCACGGGCCTCAAATATAGGCCCTAGTCCATGCCTCACAGACATGATAAATATATCTATAGAAAGCTTTAAATTACTACTTAACGAAATAAAACAAATCAAAAACAAAAACTCTTTCATTATAATCATAATCTGTAAAGATGCACTTCTCTCTAAAGGCACGTCTGAGGAGATGGCGAGTCAGGATCGGCAACTTCATCCTTGCAACACCGACTCAGAAAACAGTAGTTTATTAGTAAATAATTCAAATACCTCCTTACTATTTCCCCCGACACATTCATGGTAATTACTTTTACCAGTGCTTTGTGGCAAGCTTTAGCCTATTGCGTGCATTTGAACGCAGAACTGTTCAGCTGTGCTGACGGCATACATGCTGCTGCAGCTGGTCTCATGTTATTTCCACCAGCGTGGCAAAAAAAATAATTTTTTCATCAAAAATAATTGATGGATGTCTAAAATATAAAAATAAGGAGAAGCCTAAAACAAACCCGATGCCCGGCCCGCGTCTGAACTATGACGTGAAAATTGTCCCGAAGCCCGGCCCTAGGGGTGTAAAAAAGTCGGGGCCCGTTGGGCCCGGGCTGAAATGCAAGGCTCTACTTTGCATGGTAATGAAATCTAATTTACTGCAGTGTGAAAGATTTGATATGAGAGGTTTTGCAGCGCTAAGGTGTTCAGAGCATTTCTAAACATGTCGCTATTTTTTTTTAAAGGTTTTTAAGGTGTCGTGGGTGGTTACTAGATACTAGGGCATTGGTAGGTGGTTGCTTACTGCCCCAACTAAAAAAAACCATATCCATCCATCCATGGTATTCTGGTCTGTAGATATGGCTCAGGGTTCTTCAATGCAAGTCTATTT